GTATGTATGTATGTATGTATGTATGTATGTATGTATGTATGTATGTATGTATGTATGTATGTATGTATGTATGTATGGATATATATATATATATCAATTAATATGATAATAATTTTAGGAATTAATTCAAACAGAAACACTATCACAGTTAGGAGTTGTCTTTATTGTGTTTATGTTAGGACTTGGATTTTCATTTGAAAAACTTAAATCTTCATTGAAATTTGCACTTGGCAGTACATTATTGATATTCGGTTCAACTCTTTGCTATTTTATTTTTGCTGGTTTCATAATTGGTGCAAGTATCAATCAATCTATTTTTATTGGTGCATGTGTGTCACTCTCTAGTACAACTGTTGTTGAACGTTTGAAATATCAAGAGCTTGAACCATTATATGGTTTATTGGTTGTGCAAGATATGTTGTTTGGACTTTTATTGGTATTTTATTTTTACTTTATTTTGATTTTAAATTTTATGATTTATTTATTTATTAATTAATTTATTTATTTATAAATATATATATATAGGCAGCGTTACCAGCTCTTTCTAAATCTGGAATGGATGCAATTTTAGCTATTGGTCATTTGTTTTTATCTTTAGTGATATTTTTCGGATTAAGTTATTTAATCACCAAACTTCCAGTTGCTTGGGTTCTTAGAACATCCAAAAAAGCCAAAAACCACGAACTTTTCATTCTTAGCTCAATATCATTATGTTTAGTGATGTCACAGCTTTCACTTTCACTTGGTCTTGGCGTTGAAATTGGTTGCTTTGTTGCAGGAACATTCATACATAATTGTAGACATATTATTGACTCTTCAATCAGCACGGTCGAGCCAATTAAAGATTTGTTTTCATGTTTATTTTTTGCCAGTATAGGACTTCACATTTATCCCAGCTTTTTGATTAATGAAGCACCACTGTTGCTTATACTTACTGCGGGAGCTGTAGGATTTAAATTTATTAATAGTAGTCTTGCGTTAGTGATATTAGGGCATCCTATTCAACATGCTTCAACAATGGCTGTTGGTTTATCTCAAATTAGCGAGTTTGTGTTTGTGCTTGGAAGTCGTGCAAAAGGATACGGAATCATATCGAGAGAAGTATACTATCTTCTATTAACGACCACTTCTTTAACACTTGTGGTGACACCGATATTATGTTACATATTATTCAATAAAAGGAAAGGTCTTGGTAGTATTGGTGGTTACAGTGATCCGGGTGGGGATAGAAAATTTATGGACTAAAGAAACTGGATATGGATGCTTCCTCAACAGAAAATCTTGGAAAAGTTGAATAAAACTACTTTATTTATAACTTTAAAAAATAATGAAATTTTTTTGTATTTATTATCTTTAATACCACTAATATTATATTATTAATAACTCATAATGTTTTATTTTTTAATTTTGTAAATATTAATATTAAGTTATTTTTAAAAATTATGTACTTGTTGTATTTAAAAAATTTTTTCTTTATAATTATATTCCTTTATTGTCGGATCATAGTGAATAATAAAGATTTTTTTGCAACTCCAAATTCTTTAAATTTAATCATGTCCATCAATCGAAATCGTCCTATTTTAAATTCCAATTTGAGATTTACCTTTGGTGAAGAAAAAATTTGGATTTCTCCGACAGGTTGATTTCCAAGAAGCCAATGAAATTTTTAGTAAAATGAACGATCTCAACTATGTTTTATCAGGAAGACAAAAATTGCCATAATAAATAATGACAAAACTAGAACTAGGGGTGCTGGTGGAGTTAAATTGAAGTTCCACCAACATCCCTATTCGTTACAAAATTATTTGAAGTTATATATAATATAATAAGTATGCACCTTTATTAGATTAATATTAAGAGTAGGATATTGGTATGTATATGTATATACTTATATTATATATATATGTATAATAAAGAATTATTTTATGCCATGAATATCTATCTAATATATAAATAAATTCATATTAAGTATTAAAAAGCATCGTCACCATCTATTAAATATTAATAATGTATGTATATCATTTATCTTATTTATCTTAATAATAATAATCTTTAAAATGTTAGGAAAACTAACATAAATGAAACTTATAATATTACTCAAAAGGACCCACATCATCCATTCTTTTATCAAGCATTCTTGAAATCAGTAAGCGCACTCTTTGCCAATTGTTTAGTGCGTTTTCGAAGACCTTGTCGTTGAAAAAAAGATTTTAACATTGGTAATTTCCCTTTCCTAATTGTTATTGTTAAAATTATAAATATTACTATAGAATTTATAATCACATGTTTTGCTATTATCTAAAGATTTTAATCATATTTATATATAAAAAAAAATTGATTAGCAAAATTAAATATAATTCAAAAAAAAAAAAAAAAAAAAAAAGCTAAATGAAAAAGAGAAGAAAAAAACTTGTAATTGTTTAATTGTGAATTAATATGAACCTTAAATAACCAAGTCCAACTTTGTTTCATAAGTTGTTTTTTCTTTACATCTTCTTCCAATTTCTGCAAGTTTTCCAATCTTTCCTTTGATGCTGCAACTTCAGCTTGCAACCTTTCAACAACCTTTACAATTTCATTGACTTTATCACTCGTAACTACTATTGATTGCAAGCTTTCCAAACGTTGTTCTAACGACGTAATACGATTCCCAATACTTAATTCATCTGATGAATTATACATGAAGTTGAAACGTTGTAATGATTTAAAATCAAAATCGATGAAACATTTTTTTACGTCATTCAAAAATTTATGATCATGTGGGCGACATTCTCATGATGAATACTAATACTATTTTAAATTTTCAGACTCTCTTTTTATTGGCCAATTAACCATTTTGATTTGTCAGTAAAATCACGTGATAGCATGTTTGGAAATGCAATATTAAAATTGTTAAATTTGAAAATTTAATCCAACTTTATCATATATCTTTATAATGGGTCATGTTTCTAAAAGTAAAACAACTTATAAAAAATCAAGAGAACTTCTAATGGTTTGTTTGGTAGGAAAAGACATAAAATTGATACTGGAATTACTGGATTTAATGAAAATTTAAATGAATATATTAGAGGTTGGAATCATCCAAAAAATCCTTAGTTAATTACTAGTTGGTCAAAAATTGCTTTAGTTGAGTATTATTTAGTCAATTATTTTAGTCAACTAATTAGTCAACTAAATTTTTTTTTATTGATTTTTTTTTAATTTGCAAATTACAAATTCATTTCCATTTGAATCTTCCACTTTTTCAAAACACTTCCACACAAAATCATGTGTTATGATTCATTTTTTTAAAGGTCTTCTGGAGCCACCACTTAAATCATTGGAACTTGAAGCCAATGAACTATTGGACCTTGTATTGGAAGTGTTTATTCATTAACATGTAAAATTATCATCAACAACACTACTATTGTCATCATCATCATATTGATGGTATTGATACTCACTCTTCCATATAGAAATTTTCCATTTTGAATGATAAACACAAAAATCATAATTGGTCAGACAATAATAATATTAGCATAGTATTATTATTAGTAGTATTAGTAGTTGACTAATTAGTTGATTAAAATAGTCAACTAAATAATCAATTAAAATAGTTGACTATTAGTTGTTCAAAAAAAAGTTTAGTTGACTATTTTAGTTGATTCCAACCTCTAATATATACCTTTAAATTTGAATGATAAAACTTGTTTATTTTATCATTATCAATCATTTCCTTTTTTAAAAAATGAAGATTAAAATTTTTTCTTTTGAGGCAGATCATCAACTATAACAGCCGGCAAATTTTAATATTAATGTTTACAAGCATGTGAAGATTTTCTTTTATTTACTTTCATTAAAATTAATAGGCAATAAAATAATCATGAATTATCTAGTGATTTTAAAAGTACTATTTTTCACCAAACTTTACCAATCAACCTTTTTACTTATTTTATATAAATTTTGGAAAAGCGTAATACGTATTTATAATAACACAACAGAACTTTCCCGAATTTGTGTTAGTAGTGCAAAAGAACTTGGGCTTTCAACAGAATTCGATGAAGTAGAAGAGGATTTGGGATCGGGGTCAGAGTCAGATGAAGGTTGTGAAGGTGATAGAATACCAATGTTACCAAGAATTGCCTCTTTTTCTTCTGTTTCCTCGGAAGAATTTTCAATACCAGTTGAGTCTGTATATCGTGTTGGTAAGTGAAATGATTTTTTTCATTATTTGGGGAATTAATATTTATTTATTTAATTTTTTAAAAGAAACAATTGTATGATTTGATAGATCGCTCTATTCTTTATTCTAGCAAGCTTGTGGTAAGTTGTTTTTTACATCTTTTGTTGTTGTTATCATTAAAAATATTTGATTTTAGTAATGATTATTATTATTATGATGTAGATGGAACGAAGGAAGCTCGAATTAAAAGAATGCAATCCTGAAGAAGTTACTCAAATGATTCTTTACAAAAAAAAGTTTCCAAACAATGGATCGAACAGAACGTAAGTTGTTTAAAGAAGTGATAATTGTTACCTGCTCACTTGCTTATCCACTTTCTTACATATAATGATTGTAATTTTATGATATTAATTAAAAGACCAGCTGCTATTGTTTTATATGAATGTTTGACTCAAATCTGTGACACTTATAAACTTACAATTGAGATTAATTTTCGTGCACAAACAAAATACAATTCTGAAGATAAATCTCATGAAAAAAAATTATTAGAGGTGTTTGATTTTATATTTATATATATTGTTTATTTATTCATTTATGTATATAATAATAATATTTAATGACAATGATAATAGTTATGGGATTTATTAAAACCAGATGAAAAGCTACAGGGTCGACTCACTGAACAGTGGACAAAGGTAACAATAATAATGATAATGACTTTATTATTTATCCAGTTAATTGAAGACTTTACTGATATATTTTTTTATTTATTTAAAAAGATTGGTTTCCAAGGAAAAGATCCTGCAACTGATTTTAGAGGCATGGGTAATATCCACACTTATTTGAATGTTAAATATCTTCTTCATTAATCTAAAAATGAAATATGCATACATTTTACATAGGAATGCTTGGACTTGATGATTTAGTTTATTATGCCAAGAATTATCGAGAATCATCACATTACGCTTTAGAATCATCATATCACACTGTCTCATGGTTTGTATTTTACAACAAATTATTATTATTATTATTATAACAACAATACTAACCAAAATACCATTATTAAAGGTATTCATTTGCCATTGTAGGCCTAAATATCACTTCGTTCGCATTACAAACACTTAGAACTAGACAACTTCAGTACTTTTTATTCAAATATGGAATAGAAAAGAATGTTTATCATGAATTCTATTGTAAGTAAATACATGATCACAAATTTTTTGTAAAAAAAAAAAATTTTTTCAAATTCTTTACTTATATATGATTTATAATATATATATATATATAAAGGCTATCTATTCCATTCTTTTAATGAATATTGGACTACATATGATCAATCAGTGATAACAACAATGGATTTTGAATGGATGTTTGCACAATTTAAAATAAATATTAGAAAAGAATTGATGGAAAGAAGAATAACTGTTTTGGATGAAACAAAAAATATTTTTACACAATCAAAGAAAATAAAATAATGATAATAAAAGACGCAAATTATTTTTTTTAATTAAATAATTTTTAATTAAACATAGATATTATATTTATTTATTTATTTATTCACTTATTTATTTACTTATTACCTTTTTCTTTTATAATACATAATAATTAATTGGCTAATTTATTAATTTATTAATTTTACTAATTTTATTTTTAAATAAAAAATTATCCTTTAATGTAGATCATTGCAGGCAAATTTGGTGTTGGTCCGGCCCGGTCTTGGTCGGTTTTTGAAAGACCAAAGGACCTGTTAAAGACTGTTTTCTAACTCAATAGTATTTGGTAGCTTTTTGGCCAGCTCATTATTTCACGTTTTATGGTCGAATTAACTTTTTAGCTACATTCGTCGATTAATTGCAAGCTTTTATGTGAAATTAATTTATTTTACGAATTTACCTTGCTTATTGCCTCTTTCTTGTAAAGCTGTAAGCACGCTTTATGGTACAAATAACAACGAATTTAATTATTTTTGTCTACTAATTTAAATAATTATTAATAAACATATATAATAATAATAATAATAATAAGTAATTAAAAATACGACGAATATAAGTTAGTATTAGGTCACATGTCCAATATACGATATAATTTTTCTTTTTAATTCACTTACTGAAATCTTGGATTTTGTGATGGTATGGAGGCGTATTATTTCACTTGCAGGGAATTTCTTCAGTTGGGTGAGTATTGTCAATTTCTTTTTACAAAGGATACTTTCCGTAAATGGTTGGGCTGGAGCTACCACTTGATCAATTTGCCACAAGTAGTTATGGCTGTTCCAACCATGGTAATTATTTTATAATGGTTGTTGATCATCAAACATATGTTATCTTTAAATGTTGACAACAAAATTCAACCAAGAACACTTTTTTGAAAACATGAATTATATATATATATATAAATTTCATATCAGTTATAATGTAAATTTCTATGGTAATAAATCGAATAACTTTAAACCATGATAACTTTTTTTTCTCGTAATAAAATTAAACAAAACTTTTTATAGTTTTATTACTTAAGTCTTCTATAATAAATCTAGAGAGATTTTTCTTACCTCATTTGGTTAGAAAGTTTTTCTATTAGCAATCTTTTTTCAATTCCTTTAGAATATATAAAAAAAATTTTTTTTATTTGGCAAGAAAAAAAACTTAATCTAAAGTTTGATATAATTTCCCTTGGTTTCATGTTTGTACCTCTTTAGTTGAAGGCTCTGATAGAATTCTTATTTTATATAGTTTTATACATATGTAAACTCGATAAGTCGGTCATGTCGAGGCTAAGAATGGTTGACGAAATTCATATTTATCGCTAAGGATCTTTTGACGAAATGACAAACTGAAGAAATTGATTTAGCCAACCAAATCAGATACTTGCACTTTCTGATCACTAAATAACAAATTTAGTGACGTGACGGGTGATTGATTCATATACATATCTTGATTGTTTTTATATAGTGCAAACATTTCAGCCAATATATTAACATCATGCATTAACTATAGTGATGGGGAAATTGCTGGTAATATGTAATTACCATATCAGCCGATTTGTTTTTGGGCCCTTCTTTCAAACCCTACACACATGTAAACTCGATAGATCGGTCATTTATTTATTTTAAACAATTTGCGACTTAATGAGCTTACATGCATATCTTATTGTGTGTGTGTAGAGTGATTATTAACCCTAAAAAATTTATTTGCTCCGCCAAAAAAAACAATTTTACTATTCAATAGTTCGTAAACCAACGGCAATACCTCAAAACTAATGGATTATTGCTAGTATAAGGTATTCATAACGTTATGATCATACCATACTGAATTTTGAGGTTCAAACAAAATCGACGCATATGCTCAAAGTACATTTTTTGAGAACCTAAGGTTTTAATAATTTTATTAATTGTATTATACATGGCATTTTATATAGCAATTCAATATGTAGAGTAACGTTGGGTATTTACCATGGCGATTATTCTCAATCCTTTTTTATCATGATGATGATGATAAGATAAAGGGTTCCGAATCTAAATCATTTTTTTGTTGGAATCACTATACTGATATATATAAATCAATATTTAGCCATACCTTTGATCATTGGTTATGAAAATTTGGTCGGTTTACTTGGTCAACTTCAATTTTGATTTCGTCAAATGCGACGAAATTAACAACGGTTTGACGAAATAATTCCCCGCCCTACAAAGTATTTTATCAACTATTCTTAATTGTAATAATTGGTAAATAATCGGTGAATGTTACTTGACAGATATTCAGATTTTTAATTATTACATACATGGGCAGTGGCTATGTTCTAAAGGATTAACCCTTATTTCCTCAAATGATGAATGAACATATTAATATTGGAAATGTAGTAATTATTGTTAAAAAATATGTTATTTTCCTGCAAAATCATTTGTAACCACAGCACATTTAAAATTACATAGGCGACCTGTTAAACCGAAGGCAATTGTGCAGGAACTTTTCTTCATATCAACGGGGTTTCGGATTAATGGGGTTTTTATAATCCGAAATTATTATTAGAGTCATAAATTAATTCGGATAAACGGAGTAATAAATTTAAATATTTGATATGAATTTGCAGTGAATTGGTTTGGATTCAATAATAAAAATATCACTCTTTTTTTAGAATTTCAGAAACAGTAGATTCACTGATATTATATTTAGATGCAATCTGGTTATTTTTTATGTTTGGGTCTTTGTTTTTTCAATGCATGTTTCTATTTTTTGTGAGATTGTTATAGGTGTATATTTTCTTTTTGATGCCCCAACTTCTTTTTCAGTGGATTTTTTTTTCCTCTTGTTTGCGCTAGAGGAAAGTCTATTACTATTCTAGTTATTGTTTGCTATTTCCATGGTAATTTGTATTTGTATAACTTGTATATTATTATTGGCCCAATTTTTATTTCACTTCGATTTATAAAAATTCGGATTACATATAAATGGCTTCAAAAAATTTAAAAATTTCTTCAATTTACGGTTTATTAATGACATTCATATTAACTTACATATGTTTGGTTTTGGTGTTTTAAAAATTATTCCTTTTAACGGGTTTTTCGAATTAATGGGGTTCGGATTAACGGGGTTGCCTATTTATCTATTACTATTACTATGACGACTAATGATCATATATCACATGATCCGAAAATTTTTCCAAACAAAAACTTACGAGTTAGAATTACTATTTTAGTAGTGCATGATTTAATTATCTCATCCCATAATAATTTTTTGTTCATTTTATTGGATATTGTTTATATTTTATTATCTCATTTTATATCATCATTGATCAAAAAAGAACATTAGATATCTTTCTTAATATGAAATAAGTGTATTTAATAAGTAAATGTATAAAAAGCCTTGTATCACATTATAAATAGATCACATGACGATGAGCTGCTAATTAAAATTATAATAACAGTCTTTCTCTATTACTATAATGGATGGACTTTCTTGCTGAAAGAATATTATATAAAAAAAGGATAATAAGGAAATTAAAGTTTTGTTCAATCAGCATCCAATCAGTAAGTGCTTATTATTATTTATTTATTTTTTTCTCGTGCCACACACATAATGAAAAATGAATCTGTTATTATTTATTTATTTTTTATCCATTAATAGACGGACGGAACGAAGTTCTTTTTTAAAAAAATAAATTTTTTTCCTTTATTTATTTTTATAAAATTTAATTAATTTATCTATTATTATTGTTTATAAATTATTTAAAATATCTGAATTAAAAACATGACTACCAAAGAATCAACGCTGTCAGAAAAAACCTTAAAGCCCAATTCTAAAGCCAACCAACCATCTGAACCATATAAAAGAGTAATCTTTATAGGTGTAGATGGAATTGGAAAATTTGCAGAACCACCAGCTAACTGTCCAAACATTCAAAATTTTCTTTCAACCAGTGCTCACACCTATAACGGTAGAGCTGAATCAC